CCACAAATCTGCTGTAGATGGAATCTGCTTCTGTGATGGAGAAAAGTATCTGGAAAGTAAGTCTTGAACAAATGCTGTCCATTGCTGAAGGAATATTTAATACATAATGGCTAATTGAAAATCTAGAAAGAAAGCCGGACCAGGCAGAATGATAAATGACACAAAAAACTGCAAGAATGTTGATGCTCAGGCAGCATAGAGACTTATACTTTTCATAGCAGTGAACAATGGATAGCAAGCTAAGGCATAAATCCATTAAATCAATAAAAATAATTTTCCAGATTATAGTCAAATTTTAAAATATTCAACATATTTTCAACCCTATACTCTCTTTTCTCTGACATGAAGGAAGACTTTTGCATACTTACTAAGCCAGGGAATGAGTGTGTTTGTGTGTGTGTGTGTGTGTGTGTTGTATGTATAATTGCAATTCTTCTCTGTTCTTGTAGAGTTGCTCGATTTCCACCTACAAATATTTAGTCACAGTGGATTCATTTAAATATAGAGATAAATTCTACCATCAGTCGCCACATTTCCTCTAGGGCTCTGTATTTATTTTTTTATTTATCTATTTATTAGATTTCCCAAATTGTATGCTTGGTTTAAATAGCTTCAGGGTAAAAATTGCAGTAAAATTCCATTAGTTAAAAATATAATAACCAGAATCAGCAACACGGAAACACAAGGGTAAAACAGCATGTGCACGCACATAAACACATGGCCGTAACTAGAGCACTCCACTGAGACAGCCATAGCACAAAGATGGACTGTGCCAAGCTCTGAAGCTGAGGAAGCTAGGGCTCAGGGGAGTCACACAGTTTGGAACTAATGTTAGAGCAGTTGTTTCAGGCTTTACTGAGGGATGCTGTTCTCTACACAGAGGAAAATCAGCAACTGTTAACAGAACCTGGCAAGAGAGTTAAGATGAATAAAATTCCAAGACTTGTGGTTTTAATGATGTTGGAAGAGAAGGTAGGAAGAGAATATAAAAATGCAAATGTTTGTGTGTATTTGTGCTTATTAAGGCAAGCAGGTTCAGTATGAATCAGTGTTTAAGAAGATGAATAAATGTGTGGATGTGTGCATCTTGATTCTACACACACACACACACACACACACATACAGACACACACACACACACAAATTTAAAATGGAAGTTTCTTCCTATCTATTATGTAATTGTTTCTGAAGTTATATGCATGGAACTCCTATCTAATCAACAGAATTGAACTGCATATCATTTTATTATTCCCCCTTTTCTTCCAGCTTAAATATAAGCATTTATCATGACATAAAATCATCTCCTAGGTCTAGTCTCTGCCCACTTGTTTTTTTTTTCTTCTCACCTCTGCTTACACATTCCATCCAATTTTATTAATTCTACTAACTTTGCTAAAAATTCATAAATCTTTGATGTCTACTGATGTAGGTCAGTGGTGGGATGATTCTTAACATAGGAGAATATGTTCAATCTTGGATACCTAAAGTGAGAAAGGCCAGAGTAAACAAACTTGCTTTGCACTTCCATTTCCCTCTGGCTGATTATTAAGCAGGATTCATAACTCCTGTGTTGTTTCTGTCATCAGAATGGCTCATGTGAGACCTGTAAGGGTATGGTGGTTTTTATCTGTCCTCACAGCACTTGCTCCTGCCATGAGCATTTATGATGTGGCTTGGCAATTGCACACTTATCTGGATGCCCACCACCCTGTGAAATGGTTCCAGAAGCAGAAGCCATGCTTGCTATTTGGAACTGGACAGTCAAACAACTGGTACTATCTGGAATCTGATTCAAGTTTCAGTCTATCTATTTCCCCAAACAGTAGCCAGAAAAAATTCACATTGTGCTCCAAATTATTTTACTACTACTCCAGTGTTTCAAAATCTCCAGTGCTGATAAAATTGAATATATCTTGCCATGGTTAATTTCCCTCATCATATCCTATTTCTTTTATTGTGCTTCAAATTAATTCTTGCTACAAGATCTTTCCTGTTCCTATTCTTTGTGCTTACTAAACTTTTATTCTTTTCCTTAATGTTTTCATTGCTTTCTCTCCATCATTTTAGATTTGGCTCCTATGACTCACTCTGTAACTAACCTCTTAGTGTTTTACAATCAAGTAAGTCTTGTAGGGCAATAATGAGTTATAGTTTTAATACAGTTACAGTTGGTTATTACGTTTGAGTGGAAGTGATCTAGATGGTAGGAATCAAATCAATACAATTATATTTAGCCAATGAATTGTGATAAAGTATATTCCTTTCAGGGATGATATTGGCCTTCTAGAGACCTGCTTTCTTTCTTTCTACTAGATGAACACCAAAGAAGTGGCTACCCACATATCCACAATGATTGGGTGACAAGGGCAATATTTAAAATTTTTCCAATTTAATGCAATTTTCACTTGTGTTTTACCACAGCATAATGGATCTATATCATTCCATTTTGCTTTAAATGACATTTTACATGCTTCCTGGATGTATTTTCCTGTTTATAATATTCCTACATATTTTCTTCTCTTCTGATACATAGGACATGGGTATCATTAACCACAATTTCTGATTTTATATCTTTCTACATTTTTATTCTGGTAGCTGATTACAATTTGAGGAAATAACCATAGGAATGTTAAACTCTCTGAGGCAATAGAATTTACAGGTCTTTTCATTAAAAACTGAATTCTACCATGACCTTACAGAAGAGTAAAATAAATGTTAAATTTTATTTAAAAAACAGACTGAATTTTAGAAATTTAAACAAAAAAGAACATATGTTCTTATTTTCTTGATTTCTGTATAAGCAAAATTTACTTTATTTTTGACCCTCTTCTTGACCAAGGTCCTTCTAGAAGTTCAAAGGCTATGGTGATAAAGAGGGCAGAGTAGTCACTGCTGCAGTTGCTATTGCTGGAACTTATTATCTGTATGCCATTTGGAAAATTAATAGTTTCTGTGCTTCTATAAGAACTCTGTCATTTATTAACATTTTAACAAAATAAAATGAAGCAGATGAATGATTAATTTTAATGCCAGGTTCGTCTAGCCACAGTAGAAACTGTGTAATATAGGGTATTAGACTCTGTAAATGAGCATTGGAGACACATGGGTAAGAATAAAACAAATGCCAAAAGACATACAAAGTATTGTCTTCTGTTGAGAGTCAAAAGTGCTGCATAGCTTATGTGAATTGAGGGGAGCATATTTAGTATATAAAACATTACATATATGACCAGTTTCATAAACTGTAATACCTAATCATAAGGTTTCTGAATAGAAGACATAAGTTTAGTTTGTCTTCACTATTTCATGTTTCAAAGGAATTCAGATTCCTATAAAGCCAGAGACAACAATAGGTAAAGTGTATACAAGAAGATACTGGTAGCTTAGTTGGGAAGAACAGTGTCACATAAAATAGGATTCACATGTGAAAAACATATGTGTGACCATTCTTAAGGGAATAGTTCTGCCAACTTGGATCACCATGATGCACTTAATTTACCATTCCTGGTTACCTTCTAGCTTGTGAATGATTATAATTTAGTATTTTGTAGCATAGGCAATAGGCTATAGTGTTTAGACTTATAAAGGTACACAAAGAAGGAAAATTTATATATAAAACCCATATGTATTTAAATGTGGAGACTGGAATCCCTGTTCTGTATTACCTTGACTTTTATCCTTGCCTTAGTAGGCATTTTCTTGGCTTTGCATTGTTAATGTTTACTTCTCTAGTATTTCTTTGGAAGCCATACCAAAACTTCCCTAGTCTTAATAATAATAATTCACTTCAAAGATTGTCTTGAAAACACTTAAATAACATAAAGAAGTTATCTATTTATATCACATGGAAAACAACCACAGACACTGTAGATAAAATACTCATCTACAAATTCCAAATGTCATCCTCGCAGTAACATTTCCAGGTAGAAAAAAGGACATCTCAATTTCTTTATAGTTGCTTTAGTGACATCCGAATTTTGATGTTAAGTAAGTCTATTACTAAAATCCTTGTTTTGGGTCTCTACCAAGCCAACAAATTAAGTAGGTGGGTAATTGTCAAAACAAGTAAATTAAATAATCTTTGCTAAGAATCATAACATGAGATATGCAATTAATTTATTATGTTAAAACTTTAGTCACATACACACACACACACACACACACATATATATATATATAATTTAGAACAGTATTGGGGAATACTTTTATTATGTTAATATGATATTAGCTATTTTAAAACTTAAAAATTTTATTATACTTGCATTGTTCAGTTGTTATAGTATAAGATAATCTATGTACCAATGTTTATATCCCTTACACTTAATGTTCCCTAATTTATCCTACCATTTCATCAACATATCAGACAGTAGTATATCTGGATATTATATGCATTCCTACTTTCAATAGAATGTACAGATACAAAACTTCATTAAATTCATCTTTAAAATGATCTGCTTTTCTGCTTTGACTGTAGAAACAGAACATTGTTTATTGAAGATGTTTTACTTATTGTGTGTGTTTCTTTGCTTTCAACATTCTCAGTTTCTATTTTCTGAAGGTTTTTTTAGTCACTAAGTGCTTATTATTTCTTTGGTTATTTATTTCTTGGTAATTTGAAAGAAATTACTCCAGAAATGTCAAAAATCAAGCAAACTCTTATCAATAGGAGATTTTGTTTACATGGCTTGGAGAAAGTGCTTCAAAGACAGTACCTGAAGGCACTAATTAAGACAACAGTAAAGCATTCAACAGTCTCTTTACTCATTTATGTAAACCTCCCAGAAATCTGCAAGAGACAGTAAATATTATTTTCTCTCAATTATTCATGTTTTTAAAGTGGATTTGAAATGCTTGAATGTTTCATAGCTGTTACAGAAAATATATAATTTCTCTAGTGTAATTATATTACCCAAATAGAAAAAAATTATTCAAAGTGACAGTAAAAATCACCATTTCTCTCCTGTCTTGCTCCGTTTTCTCCTTCTTCATTTAAAATTAAGAAGTTCATTCGCCTGCTGGCTGCGCTGGGAATGAGTTTCAGTGCCATCCTGACGGTAACTGCATCCCTGATCTGTGGCGCTGCGATGGAGAAAAAGACTGCGAAGACGGCAGTGATGAAAAAGGCTGCAATGGCACCATTCGACTGTGCGACCACAAAACCAAGTTTTCCTGCAGGAGTACAGGTGAGAACAAAGAACATCCCAGGAGCAGAATCCTTTGGCTCAGGCTGTATCTGTAGCTCATCTCTGAAAAGCATTCCTAGTCTTCGGTAGCTTAGCTCACATTCTCTGAGTAACAGTAGTGACGTATCTGTTAGAAGCATTATGGGTCAGGCACCATCTTATCAAAGTTCTTTATGAACTCATGGAGGAAACGGAAGGGTTTAAGTTGATAAGCACTACAGAGACTGAATAGCAGAATTAAAATCTATGATCACTGTATTTAGGTTCAGAATCTGTAATGGAATCTCAAGGTCAAGGAGGCATGTGCTATCTTACACTCAGTAAATGTCACAGGAGAAGGTGGGTAGTACATTTTAGTTTACATCTGCTTTCCTAGATGTTTGTCTAGTGTCTGCCATTTGAATCTGATTATGTTGAGAGTCACTGTCCGTACTGTTGTATTTCGTAAAGGTGTCTATTAATGACATTTCCAGGTTTTCCTACTTACAGAGGGTTCCTATTGAGATCCTACTAACTTATTTCTCTTTCTACGCCTGATGATGAGAGAAAGTTAGGACTTATCCTAATATATTTGAAAATAATTGTGTTATATTCAATGGTGAAATCAAACATTGGAAGAGTTTCTGATAGGTTTTATAACATAGTATTCTGTGGGTTTCACGATATATTCTTGAGTCACTCTAGAATTTCCCTCTATTGTGAAGTTGCTTGTGTGTGGCTCAACCCTGAACTCTCAGCTGTCCTCCTTTTTGTCTGTGTTACAAGCAAGAAAGGCAGTAGCACATAGAGCCTTGTGTTTCTTCCCTAATCACAATACATTTGTCACACTGAAACACTGAGATAAAAAGAAATATTTGTCCTCACCATAGTGCTATACAAATTGATTCTCCTAAGGCCCATTCCTATTGAAGATGGCATGAATCCCAACTGGTAACTTTCCAAAAATATTTCTTCGTACATAACATTTTTGGTTTTGAGAATTTCTTATATGAGTACTGCATTTGAATCATCCCCCTATACTCTTCCCGATCCCTCCTATGATCTCCCAGCCATTTAAAATTTGTGCTATTTTTTCTTTGAGTCTCTCTTCGTATATAACCTATATAAATACAACCTGCTGGGTCTATTTATTGTTGCTCAAATATATATGATGTTAGGGATGCCCATTTGGTATTGGATGATCATTTAGGGACTTTAGCCCCTAGTAAGACTGAATCTCTCATTCTTAGCACTGATTAATTGCCTCTAGCATTTCATCTTGGCATGAGGTATTGTGAGATTTCCTCCACACACATTGGAATGTCAAGTGGTGTTGCCATTTTACTGTTTTTGTTTAGGCAACCATATTGTTGGGATTTCACCAATTCAGTCCCTGTCATACATAGAAGACAACCTCCAAAAGACTTGCATATCCTCTGCCTCTTACAGTCTTTCTGTTCTCTCTTCCACAATGTTCCCTGAGCTATATGTAAGGAGATTGTATTAAAGATGTATTAGGCAGGTCAGGGGACACCATTGTTAATTGTTGTCTGCACTGTGACCAGCTGCAAATTGCTGTGAGAGACTCCATTTCTGCCAAAGCAATTTTCTTTGATGAGGGTTTAAAGCTACACTCAACTATTGGCATAAGGGTAAGTATTTAGAATTGAATTATAAGTTACACTGAGGTAGAAAAGTGGCAGTATTATACTCTCAAATTCCATGGCCATATTAGAGAGGGAAACATAACTACAATACTGACCTTGAAATATGCCTGTTGGCCGGGCGTTGGTGGCGCACACCTTTAATCCCAGCACTCGAGAGGCAGAGGCAGGCGGATCTCTGTGAGTTCGAGGCCTGCCTGGTCTACAAAGTGAGTTCCAGGACAGCCTCCAAAGCTGCAGAGAAACCCTGTCTCAAAAAAAAAAAAAGAAATGTGCCTGTTAAGGGGGCCTTAATTCCAGTTTAAAGTAATTGGATAACCCCACAGATGTAGTGCCAATATATTTTGTAGTTGCCTTGCCCTGCTGGTAATTGTAGTGGGTCATAGGTTCACATTGTAGTAGGAGTCTCAGCTGGGTAGGACTCATGATTGCTTTTTTTTCCCCCATGGAAACACATACAACACCTTCCTGTACTATAAGTGCTGGTCCTTGAGGGGGATCAAGCTTGATTCCTTCAAGTCCTGTGTTTAAATATCTATTGTCTTAAGCAATAGGGACACAAATTGAAATTCTTGTAGTCAACCAAGGGCTATTTAGTTTTGTTTCTATTATATATTTCTTTGATCAAAAAGTCAAAAGGAGATTTCTCATGTTGGGTGACGAAGCTTTTGGTTTTTGTTAGACCATTTATGTGTCTTGTCGTTAGGATTATTACCCCAATTACCATAATTTCAAGTAAACTATATATTATGTTTATAATATGTATTCATATATATAATTTACAATTTTAGATAAACATGAATTAATGATTCATTCTGGCTTTTGCAAACATCCCCAGTGTTTTTTTATTTCTTCTCACTCTAATTCCTTGTGTATTGCCTTTCTTTGTAAACCTTGGCAGATAGTTTTGCTGTGTACAATTGTCTAGACTGGCATCTATGGTAATTTAGATCTTGAAGTACATCCTTTCAAAGCCTTCTGTCATGTAAAATTTCCATTTACAAAAGATGTGTCATTCTTGTAGGTATTCTTTTACATGTGACTTATATTGTATCTTGCAGTGCTTTTTCTTCATTCTGTATATTTAGTGTTTTAACTATTTTATGTGTGGGGTAGTTTCTTTTCTGGTCTTGTAATTTGATGTTCTGCATATTTCTTGTATTTTCATGAGTGTGTCTTTCTTTAGTTTGTGGTAGTTTTCCTGTGTGATTTTAGTGAAGACTTCTATGCCATTGACTCAGTATTCTTCTATAACTGCAATTTAAATATTTCATCCTTTCATGGTGTCCCATATACTTTTCATATTCATTGCTCATGTGGTCTAATTCTTCCTCTATTTTATCTTCAAAACCTGATATCCTCTCTTCCACCTGATTCATTTTTATAAGTTTCTTTTCTTCCTCTTTTTATTTAAGTTAGAAGCAAGCTTGCTTCACATTGCAATCCCAGCTCCCTCCCCCTACCCTCCTCTCCTGCCCTCCCTACCATTTCTCCTAGTGCCCCACTCAATCTCCACTCTGATCCCCAGGGAGGGTGAAGCCCTCCATGGAGGATCTCCAGAGTCTGTCATTTCATCCAGGGCAGGTCCTAGGCCCTCCCCCCAAGAGTCCATGCTGAGAAAATCAGAAATGGAAAGAGGGTCATAACAACAGACACTGAGGAAATCCAGAGAATCATCAGGTCATACTTTGAAAACCTGTACTCCACAAAAATTGAAAATGTAAAGAAATGAACAATTTTCTGGATATATATCACTTGCCAATATTAAATCAAGAATAGATAAGCAATTTAATAGATCTATAACCCCTAAGGAAACAGAAGCAGTCATCAAAAGTTCCCCCCCCCCCCCAAAAAAAGCCCAGGTCCAGATAATCTGGCCTCAGTGCAGAATTCTATCAGAAATTCAAAGAACAGCTTATACCAGTTCTTCTTAATTCAGACCAAATTATTTGAGGGTGCTATTTAAATTTGGAAAACTTAGATGTGAATCCTAAGATAGGCTGTTGTTTCTCCATAAAGAAAGATATTGTTAAGCATCATAAACAATAGAGTAGTAACTCATCAAAGGATGAATGACTGAGTAACGTGCAGTCAGTGGCTCTAACAGCTTAATTGGACATAAGGAGTTCTGAGATTCTACAGAAGAGTACATTAGAGAATACAACCAATTGTGCACTTCCGAGGAGCTAGAGAGAGAACTTCAAATTTCCTTAACTAAAGATAATTATTATAACTTTAGTACTGAATATGCCACATAGTATAATCTGCACATTATGAATTGTGTTCATGTGTTAAAATTGAATGCTATATTCCCTAAATATATGTAATTCATGTGTGTCTATTTAAAAATGTTAATGACCTGTGAAAGTGCATCCTGCAGCCCAGTGTTCGCATTTCAACTATGAAGACCTGATTTAGAATCTGGGAACCCATATAAAAAATATGAGCATGGTGGCAAAGACTTGCAATCCAACTCTGAGATCGAAATAGGCAGGTACATGGTGAGTTACAAGTCAGTGAGAGACAATGCCTTTTTTAAAAAGTGGATTTGGGCTGAGGAATGACATCCAAGGTTGTTTGACTTTCATACATACACACATCCATACACTCTGCAATTTATTTAAAAGGAGCTAAATAGGAGTATAATTTTTAGCTATAAAACCAATAAAATAAGTTTTAACTTACATGAACAGAAAATACATATGAAAAGATAAATAATAAATGAGACGGCTAGGAAAAACTTATTAGAAAGTTTCATTGCCCTGTGCTTGATATCCCAGTGTAGAGGTCAGTGACAATCTGCAATAACCACTTACAAACAGCTTCTTATGGATGTAATTCACTTAAAAACTCAATTATGAGGCAGTTGTTTGGCAATTATCAAAAAACTGGATTCTTAGCGGCACTCTTATGAGATTTGTATTATATCTTTAACATGTTTATATTAAAGATGTTGATAGCCAAATTTTCAAGGGCATCAAAATTTATTGTGTACAATCTATGCTGTGAAAAAGACTGATGCCTCCTTTTGAAAAAGTAGCCAGAGAGGTGATAATTTACCCACCCTGTACCTGAACCACAATCTGTCCCTTAAACACAGTGGAACACAGCATATTAATATTTGGAAGCCATAACTCACACCTTCATGTTAATGTTGACTATACAGTCCTATATGGACATTAATGACATTAAAATACATTATGTATATAAACACTCATCTAAAGTTCGCATACAATTATTGTTCTTTAGAAGTTTCTAATTATGTACTTAAATTATTAGTTTACAAACTAGAAGACCTCAATGAACTTTTCAGATTGTCACTTCAGAACTGAGGTTTATTTTAAAAGAAATCTCAAA